TTATTACAGTATTGCAGTAGTCTGCATAATAGTAAGTCTTCTATTTTTTGTTTGAATAAAAATTCAAAATAGAAAGCAAGAGTAATATCAGAGGGGCCTGGAGACATGACTGATGAGCAAAGAAAATGTTATTTTAGAGCCAGGAATGTCTGCATTGTTCATTCTGGACCTTATTTTGAAATTGTCATATTTTTTTAGTTTTCGTGAAATTGGCCAAATTGCAAATTTCTGACCACATTATTAGGTAGTTGAAATCGGTAAATGGGCAGTTTCTTGTACTCAATCAATAGACAAAATGGAGTTTTAAAGAAATAGCTATGAGTTTGGGCGACTGGAACAATGGAATTAGCCTAAAATAGGGCTCAAAGTGGGCGAAATCGCCGATTTGTAAACAGCGCCGAGGTTGCTAACTTCGCGAGAGCATAATTTCGTCAGTTTTCCATGAAATTTCCTTTTTTTGGTGTCATTACAATCGGGAAAAGATTCTCTATCATTTCATAAGAAAAAATAATTTTTTTTTTTTTTAAATTTTGCGACACCAGGAGACACCTCAGGATTGGGGGTTGCGACAGTCAAAGGGTTAAGGTCAAGTTTTTGCCTCCTAATGCCACTCCTCTCCTGCAGCCCATGGACCAGCAGGTCATTTCAAACTTCAAAAAACTCTACACAAAAGCTATGTTTCAAAAGTGCTTTGAAGTGACCTCATACACTCGATTGACTCTAAGAGAGTTTTGGAAAGATCACTTTAGCATCCTCAGTTGCATAAACCTTATAGGTAAGGCTTGGGAGGGAGTGACTAAGAGGACCTTAAACTCTGCTTGGAAGAAACTGTGGCCACAATGTGTAGAAGAAAGGGATTTTGAAGGGTTTGAGGCTAACCCTGAGAAGCGTATGCCAGTTGAGGAATCCATTGTGGCATTGGGGAAGTCCTTGGGGTTGGAGGTTAGTGGGGAGGATGTGGAGGAGGACAATGAAGAACTAACCACTGAAGAGCTGCAAGATCATCTTCAACAGCAAGAGGCCAGACCTGAGGAAACTACTTCAAAGGAGGGGATAGAGAAATTGAGGAAGTTGCCTACTTCAAAGATTAAGGAAATGTGTGCAAAGTGGGTTGAACTGCAAACCTTTGTGGATGAAAATCACCCTGACACAGCTACTGCAAGCTGTGTTGGCAACCTGTACAATGACAATGTTATGGCCCATTTTAGGAGTCTTAAAGGAACAGGAGGTACAGAGCTCTATGGACAGATTTGTTGTGCGACAGAGGTCCACTGACTCTCAAGCTGGTCCTAGTGACATTAAAAGAAGAAGGAAAGTAACCCTGGAAAAGGACTTGCTACCTCAAGTCCTAATGGAAGGGGATTCCCCTTCTAAACAATAACAACTTCCACACTCTCCCTCCTCCCATCCCATCAATCATCACCAGATCTTCAATAAAGGTAAGTGTCATGTATTCTATTCTTAGTAGAGTAGTAATTGTGCATGTCTTCTTCAGTTTGTGTGTATTAAAATTAATATTTCATGTGGTAAAATTTTTTTTTTCATACTTTGCGGTGTCAGGAACGGATTAATTTGATTTCCATTATTTCTTATGGGGAAAACTAATTCGCCTTACGATAATTTCGGCTTACGATGAGCTCTCAGAAATGGATTAATATCGTAAGGCGGGGGTCCTCTGCATTTTCTCCTCTCTTTACATAATTGATCATTTACTATTACTTCTCTCAGATACACCTGACTTAAGTCCACTTACACCACCCCACTACAATTCTTCTACCCCCCTTTAGTTTCATTTTGCTTGGAGCTAAGATAGCTAACCTGTTTTTATTTGCAACATTTGCAATCAATCCTTTCTTCACATCCAAACAATGCACATTTAAAATTTTCTCCCTTGTCTTTTTAGTAATTTATACTGAAGAGGTTACCATTCTTTTACTCCTGGAATTTTAGTTAACTTTTATGACAAGTATGGGTTACAGTGGAAGAATTTTCACCCACTTTCTCGAAATATAAACACTTAAGCAGTATAATGCAAACTTTATCGACAATGTTTTGCCCACACAGTGGGCTTTATCAAGTCACAAACAGAGATCTACCTGGGTAAAAGGTACGTGAGTATTTATAGGATGGAGTCAGGTGAAGAAAGCTGGGTCAGGTGGAGAATGCTGCATGTGACAATCTTCCAAGTAGGGTGATAGAGTCTAGAACCTGGGGTAGCTTTAAAAAGAGATTGGATAAATATACGAGTAGACAATAGAGCGAAAAACTAATGCCAAAGACCTGGGAGTGATCATGTCAGAGGATCTCACCTTCAAGGACCATAATATTGTATCAATCGCATCTGCTAGAAAAATGACAGGATGGATAAAGAGAACTTTCAAAACTAGGGATGCCAAGCCCATGATGACACTCTTCAGGTTGCTTGTTCTATCTAGGCTGGAATATAGAGAATACAGAGAACCTTCACAGCATGCATAAAGGAGATAAAACACCTCAATTACTGGGAGCACTTAAAGTTCCTGAACCTGTACTCCCTGGAACTCAGGCGGGAGAGATACATGATTATATACAATTGGAAAATCCTAGAGGGACTAGTACCAAACTTGCACACGAAAATCACTCTCTCCGAAAGCAAAAGACTAGGCAGACGATGCAACATCCCCCCAATGAAAAGCAGGGGTGTCACTAGCATGCTAAGAGACAACACAATAAGTGTCAGGGGCCCAAGACTGTTCAACTGCCTCCCAGCATACATAAGGGGGATTACCAATAGACCCCTGGCTGTCTTCAAGCAGGAACTGGACAGGCACCTAAAGTCGGTACCCCTGACCAGCCGGGCTGTGGCTCGTACGCTAGATTGCGTGCAGCCAGCAGTAACAGCCTGGTTGATCAGGCCCTGTTCCACCATGAGGCCTGGTCACAGACCGGGCCGCGGGGGCGTTGACCCCCGGAACTCTCTCCCGGTAAACTCCAGGTAAAAGTTTCTGCAGTGTTCCTCCATTCTTATGTTCTTATGTGGGATAGTGATGAAGAAGTTTCTTGGCAAGGGGTTCAGCTATGTTATAGAAGCCGCTGTTTTGGTTGAAGTTGTTGGATATACAGATAAGTGATGATTCCAGGATTCTTCAGCATTGAGTGTTGTCTTCTCTGGCGATAAGTCTTGTTCTTCAACTGAACCACTTGCCAAGAAACTTCTTCATTGCTATCCCACATAAGAATGGAGGAACACTGCAGAAGGTCTACTCATATACTTATCCAATCTCTTTTTAAAGCTACCCAAGGTTCTAGACTCCATCGACCTACTTGGAAGATTGTCACATGCAGTATTCTCCACCTGACCCAGCATTCTCCACCTGACCCAGCATTCTCCACCTGACTCCATCCTATAAATACTCACGTACCTTTTACCAAGGTAGATCTGTTTGTGACATGATAAAGCCCACTGTGTGGGTGAAACGTTGTCAATAAAGGTTCACATTATACTGCTTTAGTGTTTATATTTCCAATGAGTCGGTATTTTATACCATTTATTTCCACCCACTTTCTCACGGAGATGAAAGGAAACACTATAGGAAAAAGAACTATTAAGAGATTAAAAGAAGCCTCAGATGACTAATTAAACATATACATGTACATGCACAATTGAATGTGTAGTATGAACTAGATGTAAGTACATGTAACAAGATGTGTCTGTTATCTTATGTGTTTATGAGACAGAAAGAAATACAGCCAGCAATCCTGTCATTGTGCAAAACAAATACAAGTTTTTGTTTCACATTCATTTGGCAGGACAGTAGTACGTCCCTGAATGGTTGCAGTCTACTAGCTTACTAACTTAACCCTTTCAGCATTGAGACTCCTGATCTCAAACTTGCTTTCAGCATTGAGACCCCTGCTCTCAAACTTGCTTTCCATGTCGAGACCCCTGCTTTCAAATTTGCTTTTAGTGTCAAGACCCCTGCTCCCAAACTTGCTTTCAGGGTTGAAAAATAAAACACCTTATGAAATGATAGAGAATCTTTCTTTCAAAGGTAATGAAACTAAAAGTAAAAAATTTGATGGAAAACTTACGGAATTATGCTCTTGCAAAATTAGAGGTCTCGGTAATATTTACGCATTGGCAATTTCACCTGCATTGCGCTCTATTTTTGGCCAATTCCATTGTTTCAGCCCACCAGACTCATAACTATTTTGCTAGTATTCCTTCTATTCTATCGAATGAGTACAAGAAACCACCTGTTTACCTATTTCAACTATCCAATAAAGTGATCAGAAATCAGTAATTTGGCCAGTTTCATACAAAATTCAACAACTGCCAATTTAAAAACAGGGTAAGGAATAAACAATGTAGACATTCCTGGCACTAAATAAAAAGTTCCTCTGTTCCTTAGTCACATTTCCAGGCCCCTCTTATATTACACAGCTTTTCATTTTGAATTCTTATTCATACACAAAAAAATAGAAGATTTACTGTGACTGGCCATTCGGACATTTGTATACTCTGGAATATCAGCAAAAATTTAACATTTCTGCTACTTCGAGCTCAATTTCAAGGTACTTTCTGTCCTGAAACTAATCAAAATCATCTCTATTTCAGTAATATATCTTCCATTCTATCAATAAGATGAAGAAACCAAGAATACAGCCATAAGAACCAAAAACACAGTCGCAGTTCCTTTTTCTTATTATGCAATGCTGCAGGATTTTTTTGTGGTGCACACTTACTGCATAGACCCATTCTCTCATGTCTAGGCCCAAATTTACTGCTTACGGCTTATCTGAGTGAGCTGAGCTCTTGGCGTCATACTGCAGGACTGACATTGGCTTCAAAGCCAATGGGACCGTCACTGAAAGGGTTAAATTTGTATCTGTGGAAAAGCAAAAACCTACATTATTTTTTTATCATGAAACTTGAATGAATCATATGGGATGACCTGGGTGTCCTGAAAAATGGAATTCCATCACAAACCAAAGTTAACATCCTTGGTATATAAACTCACCTGCATGATGGAAAGCTGCTCCAAAAGAAATAGACCGAGATAAGACATCATCCAGTCCAACAGGGCATTTATGGAGAGCATTTATTACCCTCCTTATGCCCTCTGAGTCTAAGGAATCTCTCAGCTTTCTGCCTAGCTCAGGTGGATATTGACTGTCTGCCTTTCCTGGTGATTAATAAATATGTGAGTTTGTGTAAGTATAATTGATGGAGAATCAATGTAATAAAAATTGAGAAGGCATATACAAAGCTGAAAGAAAATCTGACAATGTAACAAATTTTTAATCCCCTCTACTCTTATATTTCTTTAAGAAAAGTATACTAGTAGTCTGCCAAGTGGGTGAACAAACTCATTTAGACTAAAGAAAAAAAATTACCAGTGCAAAAAACAAAAACAAAAACAAAAAAAAAAACATAAGAACATAAGAAAGAAGGAACACTACAGTAGACCTACTGGCCTATGCGAGGCAGGTCCAATTCTCTTACCGGTTTAAGTCTATGCCTTAATCTAGTCAGGTCAGATCATGTTCACTCAAGGAAGGAGCACGGCATCTGACCTAGTAGCACAAGCTAGTCATATCAAACTCACACCCACCCACACCCACTCATGTACAGTGGAACCTCTACTTACGAGTTTAATCCATTCTGTGACCTTGCTCGCATCTGGATTTGCTCGTTTGCAGGGTCAATTTTCCTCATTTAAATTAACTGAAATAGAATTAATCCGCTCCCGTGGAATTCCTGGCACGACAAAATACTTCAATAATTTCTCTAATATCAACTCTACGGCTTATTTATCAAAATTCATCTAATATGATATAAACAATATTAATAACATAGAAACATGAACATAATATATACACTAGAATGGATGAAATATTATGTATGTGAGTAGTGTTAGTGGAGGTGGCACAACGGCCTTTGTTGTTGTTGTTGTTGTTGTTGTTGTTGTTGTTGTTGGGGTGTAAAGGGCCACCACGGCAGCCATTCCTACATACCTTCCCATGCTTTTATTATAACAGAAAATGGAGTGTTTGTAAGGCAAACTTCATTAGATCACTACGTACATAGTTTCATAAGGAAAACAATAATAATAATAATAATAATTTTTTATAATTATTTTATTATCACACTGGCCGATTCCCACCAAGGCAGGGTGGCCCGAAAAAGAAAAACTTTCACCATCATTCACTCCATCACTGTCTTGCCAGAAGGGTGCTTTACACTACAGTTTTTAAACTGCAACATTAACACCCCTCCCTTCAAAGTGCAGGCACTGTACTTCCCATCTCCAGGACTCAAGTCCGGCCTGCCGGTTTCCCTGAACCCCTTCATAAATGTTACTTTGCTCACACTCCAACAGCACGTCAAGTATTAAAAACCATTTGTCTCCATTCACTCCTATCAAACACGCTCACGCATGCCTGCTGGAAGTCCAAGCCCCTCGCACACAAAACCTCCTTTACCCCCTCCCTCCAACCTTTCCTAGGCCGACCCCTACCCCGCCTTCCTAATAATAATAATAACAACAATAATAATAATAATAATAATAATAATAATAATAATAATAATAATAATAATAATAATAATGTAAAGAAATTATGTAGTAATACAGCATTTACCTTGGAGATGGAGAAGAGATGCTGGGCACATCGGCGTATGCTAAATTATGCACAGTACGTACATACATATTATTATTATTATACAGTGGAATCCCGAGTTTCAGCCACCCTGAGTATCAGCCGCTTTGAGTTTCAAATGCTTTTTTCGGATAAATTTTGTCCCAAGTTTTGGCCTGTGCCCCGTGTTTCAGCCGGCATACCAGACCTGTCCACCTGCCTGTGCCTGGCGCCTGCCTGCACAGGAGTCATGAGCCAGTCTAGCTTTGTTTATCCTTGAGTGAACATTACTCTGCACGCTCATCCAAACATTTCACAATAAATTCGTTGTGTTTAGTGCTTGTTTATTGATTGTGACTGTGAAATAAGCCACCATGGGCCCAAAGAAACTTCATAGTGGGAACCCTTTGGTAAAGAAAGTGAGAAACGCCATAGAAGTGAAGAAAGAAATTGTACAAAAATATGAGGCAGTTAGCCACAGTGGTTGAAGCAGTGGTTGAGGCAGTGGTTGAGGCAGTGGTTGAGGCAGTGGTTGAGGCAGTGGTTGAGGCAGTGGTTGAGGCAGTGGTTGAGGAAGTGGTTGAGCCAGTGGTGGAGGCAGTGGTTGAGGCAATAATAAGTCCTCCCTCTCTACTCTTCCCTATCTTCCAGATGCCAACAAGTCTTCAATAAAGGTACATAAATGTGATTTTAAATGTTTATTTAAGTGTTTATTTATCTATTTCATTACTCATTTAAGTATTATATATGTATTTATAATTGTTTTGTGTATGTAAAACTATAGTTATTCTTTAAAAAATGTATTTTTTTCTGAATATTTTTGTGGGTCTAGAACGGATTAATTAGATTTACATTATTTCTTATGGGAAATATTGCTTCGACTTTAGGCCTAGCTCCTGGAATGGATTACTGCCAAAACTCGGGGTTCCACTGTAATTATTATTATAGTAGTATTAAGTAGTACAGTAGGGCCCCACTGATACGGCAGGTTAGGTTCCAGTCTACCGCCGTAAAGTGGAACACCCTTTTTTTCCACTTATAAATGCATATAAATGCTAGATAACGTATTTACACTGACATATATTAAATTAGCAATAGAACTAGGCATTAAAAAACACAATAAAAAGTAAAATACACACACAGTACATTTATTACTTACCTTAAAATACTTAATATGAATGTGTGAGAGGTGAGTGGCAATGTAGTTATTGAATCAAATCATGAGATGGCAGACCATCATCCTCTGATTCTTCAACTAATTTGATTCGTTTTGGAGACTTGTGTGAAGCTTTTGAAGGAGTGTATGTTGCTGTTGAAGTTGAAGGCTGTTCAAGGTTAGCTGTTGATGTTGAAGGCTGTTCAAGGCTAGCTGTTGATACTGAAGACTGTTCAAGGCTAGCTGTTGATGTTGAAGGCTGTTCAAGGATTTAACTTGCAGTCACCAGCTGCATTAGCTCTTAGCAAGAGTGTTAGCTTGTCTTTTGCAGCTTTGAAGCCAGGTATTGACTTCTCTTCCTTAGCAATAAATGTCCTAGATGGCATCTTCTTCCAAAATAATGCAGTCTCATCCACATTAAAAATCTGTTACTTGGTATATCCACCATTCTATTATCTCGTCTCGCTCACGTGGATAATTTTCTGCAGCTAAATTGTAGGCGCTTGCAGCTTCACCCTGCACTCTGATGTTGTGAAGTTGACTTCTTTCCTTAAACCTATTAAACCAGCCTCTGCTAGCTGAAAATTTATCTTCAGCAGCTTCCTCCCCTCTCTCAGCCTTCATAGAATTGAAGAGACTTAAGGCCTTGGACTGGATAATGGCTCTGCTTAAAGGCACATTGTGACTAGTCTGATCATCAATCCACACCATTAAAAGTTTTTCAATGTCAGCAATAAGGTTATCACGTTTTTTTGTAACTTTAGTGGTCACTGGTGTAGCACTTTTAATTTCCTGCAATACTTTCTCCTTATTGTTCACAAATGTACTAACTGTTTGACGAGCCAAATCAAGCTTACGTGCTATCTCAGCCATTGACATACCTTCTTCACTAAGCTTAACCATTTCTAACTTGGCACTTAAATTATGAGGCTTACGACTCTTCCTTTTATCACATCTAAGCTTAGATGCTATCGTCAACAAGAGCCAATTAGTTAACGAAGAGTAAACGAGAGAGAACGAGATACACGGAGCTCAGACAGTGTAAAAACACAAACTGAACGGGTGGTGGATGATCACTCGGTCAGGCGAAATAGACGGTATTAATACGTGTCCAGTTTTAGTTCATTCACGTACGTTCATAAAAGTTTGTGAAACTTTTACATTACAATATATTTTTTATTATAATAATAATTAAATCACAAAACAAATACTCTTACATTATGTATAAGTTGAACAAGTTAGTACAGAATAATAAACAGCAAGACTCCCATTCTCATGAAACACACCATTTTCAGACTGAATGATGATATTATTATTATTTTTTACTTTTTTTTTTTCAACAAGTCGGCCATCTCCCACTGAGGCAGGGTGACCCAAAAAAGAAAGAAAATCCCCAAAAAGAAAATACTTTCATCATCATTCAACACTTTCACCACACTCACACATTATCACTGTTTTTGCAGAGGTGCTCAGAATACAACAGTTTAGAAGCATACACATATAAAGATACACAACATATCCCTCCAAACTGCCAATATCCCAAACCCCTCCTTTAAAGTGCAGGCACTGTACTTCCCATTTCCAGGACTCAAGTCCGACTATATGAAAATAACAGGTTTCCCTGAATCCCTTCACTAAATATTACCCTGCTCACACTCCAACACACTGGCCAATTCCCACCAAGGCAGGGTGGCCCGAAAAAGAAAAACTTTCACCATCATTCACTCCATCACTGTCTTGGAGAAGGGTGCTTTACACTACAGTTTTTAAACTGCAACATTAACACCCCTCCTTCAGAGTGCAGGCACTATACTTCCCATCTCCAGGACTCAAGTCCGGCCTGCCAGTTTCCCTGAATCCCTTCATAAATGTTACTTTGCTCACACTCCAACAGCACGTCAAGTATTAAAAACCATTTGTCTCCATTCACTCCTATCAAACACTCTCACGCATGCCTGCTGAAAGTCCAAGCCCCTCGCATACAAAACCTCCTTTACCCCCTCCCTCCAACCTTTCCTAGGCCGACCCCTACCCCGCCTTCCCTCCACTACAGATTTATAAACTCTCGAAGTCATTCTATTTTGTTCCAGCCTCAGTGTATTTCTGAACCACCTCAACAACCCTTCCTCAGCCCTCTGGACAACAGTTTTGGTAATCCCGCACCTCCTCCTAACTTCCAAACTACGAATTCTCTGCATTATATTCACACCACACATTGCCCTCAAACATGACATCTCCACTGCCTCCAGCCTTCTCCTCGCTGCAACATTCATCACCCATGCTTCACACCCATATAAGAGCGTTGGTAAAACTATACACTCATACATTCCCCTCTTTGCCTCCAAGGACAAAGTTCTTTGTCTCCACAGACTCCTAAGTGCACCACTCACC